CTGACATGGCAGGAGAGGACTCTTTAAAGTAGAGACACTACATACTGATATACACCTGGACATCAGCAGGAGAGGACTCTTTAAAGTAGAGACACTACATACTGATATACACCTGAACATCAGCAGGAGAGGACTCTTTAAAGTAGAGACACTACATACTGATATACACCTGACATCAGCAGGAGAGGACCTTTAAAGCAGAGACACTACATACTGATATACACCTTGACATCAGCAGGAGAGGACTCTTTAAAGTAGAGGACACTACATACTGATATACACCTGAACATCAGCAGGACGAGGACTCTTTAAAGTAGAGACACTACATACTGATATGCCACCTGAACATCAGCAGGAGAGGACTCTTAAAGTAGAGACACTACATACTGATATACACCTGACATCAGCAGGAGAGGACTCTTTAAAGTAGAGACACTATACTGATTATACACCTGAACATCAGCAGGAGAGGACTCTTTAAAGTAGAGACACTACATACTGATATACACCTGAACATCAGCAGGAGAGGACTCTTAAAGTAGAGACACTACATACTGATATACACCTGAACATCAGCAGGAGAGGACTCTTTAAAGTAGAGACACTACATACTGATATACACCTGAACATCAGCAGGAGAGGACTCTTTAAAGTAGAGACACTACATACTGATATACACCTGAACATCAGCAGGAGAGGACTCTTTAAAGTAGAGACACTACACACTGATATACACCTGAACATCAGCAGGAGAGGACTCTTTAAAGTAGAGACACTACATACTGATATACACCTGAACATCAGCAGGAGAGGACTCTTTAAAGTAGAGGATACTACATACTGATATACACCTGAACATCAGCAGGAGAGGACTCTTTAAAGTAGAGACAACTACATACATGATATACACCTGAACATCAGCAGGAGAGCGACTCTTTAAAGTAGAGACACTACATACTGATATAACACCTTAACATCAGCAGGAGAGGACTCTTTAAGTAGAGACACTACATACTGAATTACACACTGAACATCAGCAGGAGAGGACTCTTTAAAGTAGAAGACACTACATACTGATATACAACCTGAACATCAGCAGGAGAGGACTCTTTAAAGTAGAGACAACTACATACTGATATACACCTGAACATCAGCAGGAGAGGACTCTTTAAAGTAGAGACACTACATACTGATATCAATACACCTGGAACATCAGCAAGGAGAGGAACTCTTAAAGTAGAGACACTTACATACTGATATACAACCTGAACAGCAGGCATGGGGAGAGGACTCTTTAAAGTGAGACAACTACATACTGATATACACACCTGACATCAGCAGAGAGGAACCTTGAAAATCAGTCAGGAGAGGAACTCTTTAAAGTAGAGACACTAGCAATACTGATATACACCTGAAACATCAGCAGGAGAGACTCTTTAAAGTAAGAGACACTAAATGACTGATATACACCTGGACATCAGTCAGGAGAGGACTCTTAAAGTAGGAGACACTTACATACTGAATATACAACCTGAACATCAGCAGGAGAAGGGACTCTTTAAAGTAGAGACACTAACAATACTGAATATACACCTGAACATCAGCAGGAGAAGGACTCTTTAAAGTAGAGACCACTAAAATACTGATATACAAACCTGAACATCAGCAGCATAGGACTCTTTAAAGTAGAGACACTACATACTGATATAACACCTGGACATCAGCAGGAGAGGACTCTTTAAAGTAGAGACACTACAATACTGATATACACCTGAACATCAGCAGGAGAGGACTCTTTAAAGTAGAGACACTACATACTGATATACACCTGAGCATCAGCAGGAGAGGACTCTTTAAAGTAGAGGACTGTTCTCTTTAATCATTAAGAGTTTCCATGACTCTTTGTTAATGTTTCACTCTTTATGTTTTTACGGTTCAGACTTTATTGCAGGGAGGATCTGTGTGTGCTCCCTTTGTTTGAATGCATCAAACTCTCTAAACTAAAACTGCTCTTGGTGCTAAAATATATTACAAACTTTCACTGATTTAAATCTTTTTGGCAGTCCTGCACTGAAAAAAGTGAAGCATTGCCTTAATGATGAATGATGTATTATATATTATGTCAGCAGATTGCACATCACTGTTTTAGGTTAGTTGAAAGCAATCATCTTAAGTTGAAATAGGTTCAACTTAATATTATTGCTTTCAACTAACCTAATACAGTGATGTGACATTTCTTGACATATTTCATTTAATTAAAGTCAATGCTTCACTTCTTTCAGTGTGGTCAGAATTCCTATCCTCATCATTATTTCCTCGTCTTGTTCTTCTCACTATTAGTAATAGTCGTAGTAGTATTGTGTTTAAGATGTCCACTAAGGAGTCCCTGAGGAATTAGTCCTTGAAAAGGGTTTTTAAGGTTGCTTTAGAAACTTCCAAAAGTCCTTGAATGTTCCCCAGATGTCCTTGAAAATGACTGACACTGACAGCCAATAAGAAA